TTTTTCAAATATATACGCTTCATTGTATAATTATCTGAATACTTCTTATTACATAATCTTATGTTATTTGAGCATTTACAAGCCTTTATTAATCTTATTACAACTAGTACACCTGTCATTACAGCATCAAGTTGTACTTTTCAGATATAATGTTTATTTATGTAATCTATTCCACTGTCATCATTCACTCATTAAACTGACTTGATTGGTTTAATAATTTCGAATAGACATTAACACCATTGGATGCCGGCTCGGTGGTCTAGTTAGTTAGGCGCCTGGCGCGAGACTGATATGCCCTGAGTACGAGTCTCGTAGGGTGCGGGATCGTGGATGCGCACTGCTTAGGAGTCCCATACTAGGACGAAACGGCCGTCCAGTGCTTTCAGGTTTTCCATGGTGATCTAGCTTCAATTGACTCATGATTTTATTCTGTGAAATTTCTAAGATCTCCACAAACGCCTTCTGATAATTTTGTGTATGCATATAGATATTACTGTATATTGGAGTAAAGCCTGATAAGGATCTAATCGAAAACAATATTGTTCACTTATATATGTTATTCTAATAATGAATTAACAAATGTGTTAATATAGACTTCTTAAACATTTGATTTGATAGACTCCTTCAAATAGTGATGCTCATCATGAACTGATGTTATCCTGAGAATTAATGAAAACCAACCAGCAGTAAACTATTTTTTCTCGTTTATGATGTTCACTTACAAATCAATACAGAATTAAATTAACAATTCATAGCAATAATGATAAGTTGAAGCTACAGAGTGACAATACAATGATCTCAAGATTATTACGTAATTAGATATATTTCTTTCGCTGTTAACAAAGTTGGAGTTTTATAGGTAAACATGGATAATGACTAACAGTGGAATCCAAGACGTTTGTTTCATCCTATTCGGAATTCGTAAGCTGGATATATCTGAATTCCGCTTGCACAAGCAAGCAGCCATTAGGACTCAGTAGCTAAGTGGATAACCTGATAGCGTTTGGAGTGGAAGGTACTGGGTTCAAGTCTGGAACTGATCATCAACTCTGGGATATCAGACAATATCAAGGAAGTTCGAAAACAGGATGCAGATATACCAACAAGAGACTGATTAATTGTAATCCTAAACAATAATAGGAAGATACAAGCAAACAATACCAAATGAATAGTTGAAGTTTGTATATCATAGTATTTTACCTAGAATTCAAGGAAGATTTTTAAAGTCAGTCAACAAAGAGAACAAAATTATCAAGAGCTAATGATATCATAAAAATTAAGAAAAATTCATCTAATATGACTTTAATAATGGTATATGACTGCTGATATTTTGAAAAAATGTTGTATAAAAATTTCTGTTATATCACTTTCATTCATTTTATAATAGAATTTTGAAATCAGCCTTTTATTTGTATTTGTGAGGATGGTCCACAGGTGAACTCGAGGAAGCTGTAAGAAGCTCAGAAAAAGCCGAAGATATTCCACTTAATTATCTTTTGGAAGAATATTCTAGAATCTCTACGTGTAGCTTCCCGCTTAGACAATGCTGATAACCCCCTGTGTGCGGATTGGTTAGCTACAATGATAATTTCGTTTTAACGAAAAACTATAAATATCTGACAGTTTTGTACTATAATTTGACGCTGTCTGGAATAATATTCGTTCCACTAGTCTTTTGTCTTGTCACTGCGATTTGGAAGGGTTTTAGCGTCCTAATGCTCAAGTTATACGCGGTATACCAAGAATATAAGCTTTAGATATAACAGTATTAAAACTTGCCACTAAAAAATTAAGATCTATAATGGTTGGATTCATGAGTTAATTAACGTTAGATCACCATGAAAAACCTGGGTTCAAATCTTGTGGACAAGATCATGGATGCTCACTGTTGAGGATTCCCATACTAGGACGAAACAGTCGTCCAGTGCTTTCAGGTTTTCAATGGTGATTTGGCATTCATCACAATGATTAGTTTGTGGAATTTCTAATAATGTATCATACAGAGATAACTTAGAGCTGTATAAAGATTTATTTAATTTACTATTTCGGATAAAATTTCACATGTCGTAGTAAATATGACTTACGATATGAACCATTAATAACTATTTGCTTATTTGTCTATTTTTGATGTAGTCTTGCTTGTTGAGCTGGATGGTTTATGCTGATGATATCGTTCATAATAACGACCAAAGCTTCATGACCAAACCATCCAGCTCAGAGAACAAAACTCCATTAAAATCATCCGCCTTAGCCATAAATCTTCTACAACATATAGTATGATACCACCTTCTAACTTATTGATTATGCTATAGATTTTATTACTTTCATACAAAGTATGCTCCAAATTGGTTTTGCACTGCAAACACCATACGTGTTCTTATGTAATCTACCATTGAATTAAATAACAACGATTACCACATTTTTCGGACGTTTAGTTACATTTGGAAGTGACTCTATTAGCTTATTGTTATCACCAAACCTGTTTTAGTCAAAAGTCTTACTGTCGTTGGAAAAAAAGTTAAACTATCTCTTTAAACACCTTAACAAATTATCACCTACCAAAGAATCCATTATCGCTAACAGATGAACCACTTTTATACAATTGCATCTTTTTTATTCATTCATTCATTCTTTAGTACTAATGTGGTGTGCTACGGATATCGACATATAGAAGTAGTATGTATCACCAATCAAAAGTGAAATGCCTGGCGGCAGAAGGTTAGAAAAAGTGAAGAGAAAAGAACGAGAACAGAGAGTGGTTGGTGTAGAAACGAAGGAACAAACAAGTCTGAGACAACTGATTGACATTTTGCAAATGAAGTATTTACTCCATGGTTCTCAGATTTTACCAAGACATTCTGTAGTTTTTTATTAAAATACATTTACATTTGGTCGTCCACCACTGATGTTCTCGTTCACTACACTAATAGCTATATGATCACGATCTGAAGAGCTTGAAATATTTATTACCATAACTATTTTTATGTTTTATACTTTGTACAAGTGTAATTACTAAACATTTATGGACAGTAGAAACAGTGTAAACATAACAGAAGCTTTTAAAAGTATCAACAAGCAGTGAATACCACTTTATTCCACTTTGAAAAAATTTCCATCAAGTTCTTTCGACCTAACTTTGTATACAGAAAGTGAATGTAATGAATCTCTTATTACCATGGTAAAACAGTTATGTTGCTCTAACGTTTTATCAAGTACATAATCTCATTATTAATTATGTCATAACTTAAAAATAAATTCCCCAGATATTCATCCAAGATGTTACCTTGAATTTTATATAAACTAGATACCTTGATTTGTTACTCATTTGTTGATAATTTGTTTTTATTCATTGTCTTTTTAATATTGTAGTGAACGGGAGCACGAGTGGGGACAGAGCATCTCAATAAAATCTGAGAATCATCATAGTTAATCGATAATTTGTAAAATATCAATCCATCATCTCAAACTTCACCGTTTCTGTCGCAAACATCAATCCATTGTCTCAGATTTCATTGTTCATACGTTTTCATACCAACTGCGTTCCGTTTCCGTTCTTTCTTTATCGACCTTCTACTGAAATACATCCTATGTCTAACCACCGTTATATACCACTTGTGTGAATATAAGTAACCCACACCACAATATCGCTAATAATTTTAACGATTTCCTTATATGGCTTCATCTTCAATAATATAAATGCTAATCGATCTTAACTATTTTATTAGATATGTTATTTCCTTATGTTTCATTATTAATATTAGCTTTATTCAATATATTTTCGGTACAGTATAGAATGGTCAGCACAAAGTATTTCAGCAAGTTTCTGTTTTATATTTTTTGATTGATCCTGGCAATAAGTATTAAGTGGTCACCAGTCAGATGTTGGCAGGAATCGTCAGGAATCAATATCTAAATAGTGTATATTCTTTTCGACACATATCGTCAGCAACCACAATATCGCTGATTGGGCGTTTTTGTAACGTGTATGATGAAAAGTCGTAAACTTTCCATAAAGTCATTTGAATAGGTTATGCAATTAATAGACATAATTATGTGTTAAGACAAACAAACAAGAAAACAGATAACTTGTTGAAATATCTAAATGGCAGGAACAAGTACCCCAGATATTCAAACATACCGTTGTTTTAAATTAAACTTCATTGATTACAGTATATAAAATGTTTTACAATGAAATTACTAATGTAAAACTGACCCGGTTTTATTGAATGTGTGGCCTTGAAATATTATGAATTCCTATTATTCTGTAAATCTTGTTCTCCTAGCTTAATTTCAATTTATGAATGAATGAAGCTGTTTGAAATATCACAACTATTAGTTTATAGTAAATTTAAGCTAAATTAAATTGACATTTTAAATAATCACTTGGAGATAAGTAAACATTACCCAGATATTAAAGTTAAATATAAAAATTATTAAATACTTATTTCACACATGAATAAATTTCTATCGTAGTGATTCCAATTTTTTTGTTTTTTTTATTGAAATTCAATATTCAATTTGTAATAGAATTCAAGCAGAAATAATATTTTAATAGTTGAGATCATGAGTCCACTGTAGCTAGATCACCATGGAAAACTTAGAAGCACTGGACGGCCGTTTCGTCCTGTTGTGGGACTCTTCAGCAATGCGCATCCACGATCCTGCTCGCGGTATTCGAACCCATACCCTTCGGTCTCGCTCACGAACACTTAACCTCTAGACCAGTGAGATTCAGTATTCGTGTGCGAGACCAACAGGTCCTGGGTTCGAAGCTCGTGAGGCAGGATCTTTGATATGCGCTGCTGAGGAGTCTCACAACAGAACGAAACGGACGATCAATGCTTGCAGGTTTTCAATGCTGGTGTAACATCAATCGGTTCATGATCTCAATCAAAACTTAACAATCTCCACAACCCCTATGCCAATAAATAATTTGGAGTAATATCTCTATAGTACTGAAAACAATGTACTTTAATAATAAATAATCACAAATCACTCACACTAATAAATATTGATTGGTCTACATTAGCCTCTTCAAATATAGTACCAAACTGAAATATTGGACAAAATCGATTTTCTGGATCAGTTTTATTATATAAACATGTACGAAGAAATTTTTTGGATGCCCAATTTTGAATGTTTCGTCTAGAATTAAAGAAAAAAATTATTATTATTATTATGAATAAACGAATTCTTTTTGTTTTTCGATTCAAAGTATTTCTTGCATAAGATTAATACAATGTATTACCATAAATTGAATTTAGAATAACATTATTAAATCCTAGATAGTGAGTTCATCTCGAAAAAATGTACAACCATAGGGTTAGGGTTAGTGTTAGGTTAGGGTTAGGGTTGTAGCCTCTCGATAAACACCTCTTCCCTAAAATCCGTTGTAAACCGATCGTATGTTAGCACCCTAACCCTAAACCCTAACCGTAACCTGACCGTAACTCTAGACCCTAACCCCATGGACGAGTTTCTATACCATATGCATTATGAATTCAGTACCTTTAGTACCTTTATCAAACCTTAACAAGTTTTTAAGTCATGTAAAAGAAGAATATCCACCGTAATTCATTACTTTCTTATAATATATTTTCACTTTATACTAACTGTCTTCTGATTGGCTAATAGTTTTCAAGGTCATTTAAGATTCGTTCAAAGGTCGTCCCCAAATTAGAGTCTCGTCGTTATCAAAAGACTTGGCATAAATAAATAATACTGTGGTGTATGTTGCATAGCTGACATCTTTAAGTAGTATGGAACACTTGTCAACAAAAGATGAAAATAAAGAAAATACAATATAAATAGAACAGTAAGTCTATTAACAAAAGAACAAAGAAGAATCATGAAGTATGTAAAGTACAACTGAAGGAAGATGTATAGAAAATGTATTTAATGTATGGTTTTCCCCACCTGAAATCTCGTTCACTAAAATAGTTCAATGAAAACATTCTATTTATTACTATATGAAACGAATAAAAATACAATCTCATGTCAATGTAAGTTAAGTTATTCAATTTACTAAAAAAATTAAAAGACTAATCTTTGAATGAACAATATTCTTTTCAATAAATCCTCTTCAGGTTCTACAATTCATATATAATCCAAATTAATAAACCGGAAAATAGTCAGGTTAAGGGTAAAGTATATCGTTCAAAGTTAAAGCATGTGAATATAGGATTGTTAAACAAAATACAACAAAATTATTAATTTTAAAGAGAGCAAGAACAAAGATTGGTGCAGAATAATATGAATTCATTTTATTTCGTTAGGTTCTCATCAGCTTCTTACAATCTAAAATATTTGAAATTCAACGTTATTATAGATATTGACATACTTATACAACAGAGGCCGATGAAGGATGAATATATGTAACATAATGTGGCAAAGATTTCGTTAGAGTTAATGAGGTCATAAAATTTTGTTTCGAATACATAGAGTTTGAGAGGGAAGGTTCCCGAAAATTGAAATAGTGATTAGAAATCATGGAATTAAAACACATTAGACGATTATGTAATGAAGTAACTGGAAATAGATTCATGTTAATAAAGAGAGATATGAATTGAAATTGGTCCTTCAAGGTGATCAACAAACAATCAAATTCAAACCTTTTGAAATTCGCGGAAGCAATAACAATGAAACGTTTAAAACCAGATCTTTGTATACAAAAAGAAACAGTAATAAATCTTTCTTTGCCCTGGTAACATTCACCCCATCCCCTTTTATTTTATTTATTTTTTTATTACGTCATTTCAACTCTTTCTGAATTTTATAATTACATCATTCATAACTGACCGATTTCAATTCATATCTCTCTTTATTAACATTAATCTATTTTCAGTTACTTCATTACATAATCGTCTAATGTGTTTTAATTCCATGATTTCTAATCACTATTTCAATTTTCGGGAACCTTCCCCCCCAAACTCTATATATTCGAAACAAAAAATTTTATGACCTCATTAACTCTAACGAAATCTTTGCCACATTATGTTACATATATTCATCCTTCATCGGCCTCTGTTGTATAAGTATGTCAATATCTATAATAACGTTGAATTTCAAATATTTTAGATTGTAAGAAGCTGATGAGAACCTAACGAAATAAAATGAATTCATATTATTCTGCACCAATCTTTGTTCTTGCTCTCTTTAAAATAATAAAGGGGATTATGTGTATGAAAATTATTAATGTTGATATGATTCATATGGAATGTAAACTTGAATCTGCATATATGTGAAGCGAAGCTTCAAGATCCATGATCCGAATAAATACGGGTCAGATTGGGTGACATCGAGGCTAAAAGATGAATTACCTAGAATGACCACCTCATTTTGTATTTATCAGTTCGACTACTACTGTGGAGCAAGTTATATTGGTTGAAGTCCTAGGAATCTACATGTTCGTGCTAGCGAACACCTCCCAGAGTGGCTAAGTAAAGGTTTGGTGAAGAAAGTAAACAGCTAGATATTGGCTCATTTAGTACAAACTGGTCATAGTGCCAGTATAAACGAAGCCTTTTAAATTATTTATAGGGTCAGTAATTTTTTGCCAAAACTTGTCAGACTTAAAGTCCTTTAAACGGTTGAAGTAGACATCCGGATGAAGAAATCTGAGCTATGCATACAAAAGAAATATCTTCAACCATTCCTCCTTCCCTGGCCAACATCAAAGCCAACTAATCAATAGTAATCTTAGCTATTGAATGACCTAATTTGACTATTGTACTTACGACTTTTCGTTGTTCATTGTAATTGTCTCTGTTATCTTTATTCACAAATCCTTGCATTATTATTATTACTATTATTATTGGTTAAACATTATTAATCTACCCAATGTACGAGATGGTGGAGAAGATTTGTAGCTCATGCGTTTTATTTTATGATCTTGATTTACTCAATACGCATTCATCCCTCCTTATTACGTCTTACTAATTTAAATAACAACATTCCATGATACCGTTGTAGAGTATTGAGATTAGATTTCAGCACATATTAACTACACCTCAGATTATTTAATTTACTTATTTATTTAAATACATAAACACTGGTACAAGGAGGCATCAAATGGATATGCGCCACATAAATCATTCGATTTGTGTGGGGGCTAGGATACTGCCCGAGTTCCCAAAGAGAAGCGGGTGGTTTTCTTAGGGGGCCACACCCAGAGCCTTCGACCTAAAGGGATGACCCACAAGGCAGTGGAGCAACGTCAGGTAGAAGGTGATCAACATCTAGTTCATACGTCATTTGTTCCTTCAGGATCCTGGTGCCCATGTGCACCATTGGTTTGAAACTAGGGTTTTCCAACTCTCATAGGTGGACCCTCCGCGTTCACCAACCCAATTAAAGCACTGGAAATTGGCTTTTCGTCCTCTCAATTTCGTAAAGAACACGTCCGCTGGAAGAAGGTAGTGAGTAGGACTTTCCTGGCAATGGTTGCATGCACGTGGCCATGTGAGAGGATTTCGAGAGGGAGAGATAACTCTTTCCATTCTCGGCTGTACCAGGGCATTCGCAACCGCAACTGTGGGTTTTCATGCTTTTGGCTTTGTTATTTAAATATAATATATACGCTGTACAAATCCATAATACTTTAAAAATTTTATAGTAACATAAATATGAAGTTCGATAAGAAGTACTTTTGTGTAGAATTTTCATTATACATTTAATTATTGTCAGCATATTTTTCTTACGTGTTGAGTTATTATCAATCACTTCTATCTTCAAAGGATAACAGTAATTCCAGATTTTCCACGGTGCTCTAGCTTCAAATGACCCACGAATCCAACTATTCAAGTTACTACAATCTCCACAAAACCCCTTTCTGATTATTATCGTTACATGCTACCTAGTGACGGTCTTCAATAGATATTACCTGGAGTTCTAGTGACCAATGGAGATCAACCGGGTTTGTCGTGTGATAGTGATTTACTGACGACAATGATGGATGTTTGCATAACTTCATCGATTGGTTGAAGTTGGACATTACCACCGTTGAATGCCGACTCAGTGGTCTAGTGGGTAAGCGTTCGCGCGCGAGACTGATAGGTCCTGGGTTTGAATCTCGTGAGGCAGGATCGTGGATGCGCACTGCTTCCAGGTTTTCCATACTAGTCTAGCTTCAATCAACTCATAAATTCAACTATTAAAATTATTATAATATCCGAAAAAACCCTCTCTGATTATAAAAGTATACATTTTTCATTATTTATTAAAGTAATTCTCATTAAGTTTTAGTTAGGGTGACACTATAATTTATAGACGACCAATGAGAGACGCTAAACTGACCTTGAGAGTGTCCACCTAATAACTAGGACCAAATGAGGGTTATAAGCCAATGTGAGGAATTAGAATTATGATTTACAATTAATGAATAGAGTAAGAAATTAGATTTCGGGTTTTCATCATGAATTGACATCAGCCATAATGCCAAAACTCTACTTAACCAAATGGATGAGTGGATTTCGTGCCAGAATCTGAGAACTGTTATCTTATACGTGATTGGTTCATCCATAAATTATAATTTCGCCTTAGTTAGTGCTTCTACATCACTATCTTTGTCTATCCTAAACCATTAAATTTGATTCAATATGTCTACTTTTTATTGCTTTCAATGTTATAGATATTATAATTGAATGCATTTTATTTTTAACTCTATCTACTTAATTAATATGAATATTTGTTAGTATTTGAATGAATAGTTTGACAGGAATTGTGCGCCAGATGTATAACAGGTAGTATGTGTAAATATTATATTTGAAATCATCTCAATAACTGAAATTTAAATAATTTTAAAGTTTCGTCCAATGATATTGTATGAACTTCTTCAGAGAACTACCACAGAATTTATACCGTTTAACAAGCAAACAAATCTTCACTGAAAGCTTGTCTAATGATATTCAGGTGTTGATTTTACCAAGTAAGAAGATATTGGTCAATAAGATGTGAATAATATGCAAAAGAATGAATGAGTGTGTATGTATAGCTTTATGTTATTAATAGTTGAAGTTTATTACATAAATTCAGTCACAATTGATTGATCACTGGGTGGTGATCAATGTCATGCTTGTCTAGTCCTTCTTAGTGCAGATCGAATGCTATCGATCATGTTGCAGTGTGGCTACCAGTCTAGGTGACTCGACACTGGAGATTTTAGAAATTTCACAGATTGAAATCATGAGTCAATCGAAGCTAGACCACCATGGAAAACCTGGGAGCACTGGACGGCCGTTTCGTCATCTGCTCACTGGTGACTGACTTCAGGAGATACTCCTGGAGTTCTAGTGGAGTTCAACCAGGTCTGTTGTGCGATATCAACTCACTGAAGACAATGGTGTACGGTGGTGCAATTTCGTGGATTGGTTGAACTTAGACGTTAACACTGTTCGATGCCGACCGGCTCAGTGGTCTAGTTGGTTGAGCGCCTGGCGCGAGACTGATAGGTCCTGGGTTCGAATCTCGCGGGGTGGGGTTTTGTAGATGCGCACTGCTGAGGAGTCCCATACTAGGACTAAACGACCGTCCAGTGCTTCCAGGTTTTCAATGGTGATCTAGATTCAACTGACTTATGATTTCAATGAGTGAGATTTTTAAATTGTTTACTTAACATTCTATTTATTCATTAGAAATTATTCATTAGGTAATGTATAACTAACTTCTGGTTTACTTCATTCTATTTCTCTTGTTGTATAAACTACTCAGTGTGTTGATTAAGTAATTTGTATGTGGTAAGTAATAAAATCAGTACCCAGTGATTTTAGAAAACCTTTATATTTATTATATGAGCTTCTCTTTTCTCTAAGACTTCAAATATTCATTTATTTAATTTTGATTTAAAAATCAAACACAGTCTATGAAGTCAATTCATAAGATGCTGAGAAAAACCATTGTGAAAGTATCACTTTTGATGATCTGTTTGGGATTTTTGCTCATTTGAGTGAAACATCTCAAGTTTAAATATCTTTCTGTTAGGTATGCAGAGGAATATACCAATAATTATCGTGTTAAGTCGAATGGTGTCCTTGGACGTTAAATGGACATTTCCTATTGGTCGATATTTATCTCACTTGTTAAATATTGTGTAAATGTTGTTTTCCATTTTATGGTACGATATGGTTTGTTTGGTTGGTATATAAACAGAGTATGTCTGAAATATAATGATTCATAACTCAGAGGCTGTGACTTGCGTTCTAGACTCAACTGGCTGGGTTAGACAGCGAAGCAGGGTCAATCGGGACTCTAGGTCGTTCATTATGTGTTTACGTGTCACAGAAGCGATAGATAACTACGCTGCGCATCTAACCTGCAAACCACCCGTTACAACACTTTCCTAATTTATAACATATAATTATGACTTTAATATTACATGTTATCAACATATCAACCTTCGAAACATAAATGATCCTTACCAGCAAATGGTACTTCGACCACGAAACGGTTTAAAATGTTAAAGATGGTTTAAAAATAATGACAAATGCACAATAACTAATGTCAATGTTTTTTTCACCACATACTTTAGATAATTAAAAGTGTATAATGCAGCAAACTGTTAGGATTTTGAATTGAGACTTAAATGTGAACAATATGGAACTTCATGTAGCCACAACTCAGCTGAATACAAAGGGGGAAATTTTTACAGGAGTCTGAGATGACAGGCAAGGCAAATGCAAAAAATTAGTTATTATCGCAAACATCATGTGGTAATTGAAAAATTAAGTTGTTGCCTAGCTATTGTGAGTTAGCAAATTTATGGAGTGGTCAAGGTCACCTCACACATATTGTCTGAATCGGTCCAGTAACTGGATTTGTGTACATATATAATTAGATCTAGCAAATCAGCTACTCACAAGTTCTTTGTCTTCTCACAACACATCGATGGTCGGTTAAGGGTTAGGTAGGGTACATTGTGACTGAATCAAATTGAAGACTATATCAGAAGCGTGTTCAGAATAAGTTTAGTAACTAACAGATAGTAATAAGATTGTTGAAAATGATTAACGTAGACATTCTGTGACAAAAAGATACAGTAGTGTTAAAAGGAAAAAAAGATTTGTTTAATTATCGAAAACACTTAATAAATTCTTTGAAACAAAACATTCAATACTATTTTTCTTATTTGATACAACTTACCGATGTATACCGAATTTTTCAAAATTTATATCATTTTTGATAAGTAGTGTGTAATTATAAACCATTGGGAATAAATATGATTTTTTACCAAGCGGTAAAGTATCATTTTCTAATGGACACCAAGAATATATTTCACATGATCCAATATCATTCCCTGGTTTAATGATACATTTGCCTGTATGAGCACCTGAACGGAGAATAGACAATGAATGGGTTAAAATATCTAAGTTACAATCTTTTTTTAAATGAACAAAACACAATGACAAATAATTATTGAAATCTTACCTACACAATCCAAAATTGTGAAATAGTTCATTATTTGAAATAATACTTCACCCTGATCAACAAAAACTCCGCCTGGAGTCCCTCCGGGGGCTACTGCCGGTCCCAAGCCCGGATAAAGGAGGAGGGTTGATCATGGGGTTAGCGTCCCCATCCCGTAGAAAACTAACTCGCTAAAAAAACGCAAACCAGAAAAATTATTCCAACCTTTTAAACTCTGCCCTGGGAGTCAGAAGGTCTTCATTTAGAAGAACCATGACGCCTCATGATGAAAGCCGAATTCCTTCGGAAGTTACGAGGCCGATGCCCCTTCTGACAGCCAGAGCAACCACTTACTTAGGTATGTGGAATACTCGTACAATGTGGGAGACCGGGAGAGTCTTCCAAATTGCTGCAGAAATGAGGAGATACAACCTAGAGGTGCATGTGATCAGTGAAACACGTTGGACGCAAGTTGGACAACAACGACTAGCTTCAAGGGAGCTTCTGTTATATTCCGGCCATGATGAAGAAAATGCCCCACATACACAAGGAGTTGCATTGATGCTGTCCAAACAAGCACAAAATGCACTTATACGATGGGAATCTCATGAACCAAGCATCATCAAAGCCTCCTTCAAAACAAAGAAAGAGGGCATTTCAATGAACATCATCCAATGTTATGCGCCTACCAACGACTACACATGAAGAAGCTATAGATCAATTCTACGATAGGCTGCAGTCAATCGTCGAGAAGTGACCGACAAAGGACCTGACCATTCTGATGGGAGATTTTAATGCCAAGGTTGGAATGGACAACACTGGATATGAAGACATCATGGGACGACACGGACTGGAAGAAAGGAACAAAAATGGTGGGAGGTTTGCAAACCTATGTGCCTTCAATAAACCGGTCATAGGCGGCACTATATTCTCACATAAACGCATTCACGAAATCACGTGGGCTTCACCGGATCACACTACGCAAAACCAAATCAACCATATCTGCATCGACAAAAAGCTCAAGAGGACAATGGAGGATGTGAGAAGCAAGAGAGGAGCTAATATAGCATCAGGTCATCACTTGCTGGTCGCCAAGATGAAATTGAAACTCAAGAAGTACTGGACAACGGGGCAGACAATATCACAACTCTCTGGAAATCACCTTAAACCAGAAAGACCAGTGAAAAGCAAGGAAGGCAAGGTGATCACCAACATTGAAGAACAGCGAAACGGGTGGGTAGAACACTTCAAAGAACTCTTGAATCGACCAGCCCCACTCAACTTTGGTGTTTGAATGAACCCACCCAACATCGACGCAGCACTCACGGACCTCCCAATCGATGTTGGCCCACCAACAATTGAAGAAATCAGCATGGCCATCAGACAAATCAAGAGTGGCAAAGCACCAGGACCAGACAACATTCCAGCAGAGGCACTAAAAGCAGACGTAGCGGCAACTGCAAGGATACTCCACATTCTCTTCAATAAGATTTGGGATGAGGAACAAGTACCAACAGACTGGAAAGAAGGACTTCTGATCAAAATACCAAAAAAAAGCGATCTCAGCAAGTGTGATAACTACAGGGGCATCACTCTTCTCTCAATACCGGGAAAAGTCTTCAACAGGGTATTGTTAAACAGGATGAAGGACTGCGTAGACGCCCAACTTCGTGACCAACAGGCAGGATTCCGTAAGGATAGATCGTGTACAGACCAAATCGCAACTCTACGGATCATTGTGGAACAATCAATTGAATGGAATTCATCACTCTACATCAACTTCATTGACTACGAAAAGGCATTTGATAGCGTGGACAGAACAACACTATGGAAACTTCTTCGACACTACGGCGTGCCTCAGAAGATAGTCAATATCATACAGAACTCATATGATGGATTACACTGCAAAATCGTGCATGGAGGACAGTTGACAAAGTCGTTCAAAGTGAAGACCGGTGTTAGGCAAGGTTGCTTACTCTCACCCTTTCTCTTTCTCCTGGTGATCGACTGGATCATGAAAACGTCAACGTTCGAAGGAAAGCGCGGGATACAATGGACATCCAAGATGCAGTTGGATGATCTAGACTTCGCAGACGATCTGGCCCTTCTATCCTAAACGCAACAACAGATGCAGGAGAAGACGAACAGTGTGGCAGCAGCCTCAGCAGCAATAGGTCTCAATATACACAAAGGGAAAAGCAGGATTCTCCGATACAACACAACATGCAACAATCCAATCAAAATTGACGGAGACGATTTGGAAGATGTAAAAATCCTTACATATCTGGGAAGCATCATTGATGAACACAACTGAAGAACATCTGGAACTCAAAGCAACTGTCAACCAACACAAAGGTCAGGATTTTCAATACAAATGTCAAGACAGTTCTACTGTATGGGGCGGAAACCTGGAGACTTACGAAAGCCATCATCCAGAAAACACAGGCGTTTATTAACAGTTATCTACGCAAAATACTTCGGATCCGTTGGCCAGACACTATTAGCAACAACCTATTGTGGGAGAGAACAAACCAGATCCCAGCGGAGGAAGAAATCAGGAAGGAGCGCTGGGAGTGGATAGAACACACATTGAGGAAAGCATCCAACTGCGTCACAAGACAAGCTCTCACATGGAATCCCCAAGGCCAAAGGAAAAGAGGAAGACCAAAGAACACATTACTCCGGGAAATGGAGATAGACATGAGAAAAATGAACAAGAATTGGATGGAACTAGAAAAGAAGGCCCAGGACAGGGTGGGTTGGAGAATGCTGGTCGGCGGCCTATGCTCCACCGGGAGTAACAGGCGTAAGTAAGTAAGTAATCAATAAAGTAATTCTCATTTTGTATAACATCAACTCTGGGATGCATCCAGCTGACGAGTCCCAAATAGGACGTAACGCGCGTCCTGGATTCCACTGCTAGCCACTATCCATCTTTGCTTAGAAAGCTTGTGACTTAGGGCTATATCGAGGCAATCCGCACAGGATGCACTTATGCCAACATGAAACTGATCAATTGCAGTCCTAAATAACAATGGGAAGATACAAGTTAAACAACACCAAGTGAATTTAATGTTCATAAGTATTTTAAATAAAATCTAGACTACCACTAACCACGTATATTAAGAATGCGAATTGAAACCTACTGATCTAGAAACGTTTTTTCAAATTAATTCATCCTTATAAATATAAAAGATAGAGTGATATCAACAATACGTAAATGTTTCAGTGTCTAAATGAAATTATTTGGGCAATCAAAATAAATGAAATAATTGACTTTAAGACAGAATTTCCAGGAAAAAAGATCTTTATATCGTTTCAATTATGAGCGCAGTTACCAACTAAACCATGTTTCAAAAACTTGTTTACCTTCAAACAATGTTACATGGTATTATTCAGATGTCAAATTTACTTAACACTTCGTAAATATTGATGTTAAAGTCTGACTACATATTCATACTGCTAAAGTTGATAGATAATGTCTGCAATTACATTTAATAAAGCTTACTGTATTTTGTAGTCTTATATTTAATGAGCATGAGATTGTGGCAAGTAACACTGAACATACATTTTAGAACTATTTTCAGTGTGAAGATAATTTAGCTGAAGACAGGTAATTCATTTTTAGATATGATCTTTAAAAATTCTATTACATGGTATTTAATTTATTCAAGAGCCCAAGGTATGAAATAATCAAACTTGATAACAAGGGAAAACTCATAGTTTCTATAATTAATTAGGAAATTATGAAAAGTCGATGCTGATAACATAATATTAACTGAATTTATATGCATGAAATTACTGTAAGCATATGCTATAAAACACCTAATGTCAGTTTTATAAGCATCTTAAAATTAATGACTAAGAAATAGCGTAAAACTTAGGATGTTTATTTTAATTCGCTATATCCATAATTAAATATGAATTTTCGACTGACAAATTATCTTTATTTCGTACTTAATTTTAATATCTGGACTGTAATAAGTGAAAAGATGCCTAGTTGTTGTGACATCAACATAAAACTGAAGATAAGTCCAAAATTGCAGTTCTATAAGAGAAGGATTTCCATTTTACTAAATATTGAATATACAAACAGCTATGAGCCTCTTAAACTCATGTTGTTTGTAATAAATTATTATTAATAACTGAAACAAAAACGATCATGAAAATCAGATAAAAATTGACAAATCTATTGTTTTAATTTTTTTCAAACGACCATAGTCTGACAAAATTTTGCTCTTAAAATGAGAGAAGGCGAAATATTTTAAATAGCTAAACAGACAGTTCTTTATCAACGAATGGCTGTATCAAAGTCTCGACGGAAGTACTTCACTGGAGAATATTTCAAGAAAAAAATAGTAATTAGGTAGTAATAACAGGGTATTGAGGAACAAACAATCGGATGTAATTAAGTGTCTTATTTTACGAAACTTTAGTAAATGATATCATAAGTTCTGTCTCATATAAAATTGACAAATGGAAAAAAACTGTCGTAAGAAATTAAACATAAATTTTAAAAAAAACCTTATTCCAAAGTATCTATGAACATTAATATGGGCTTTTATTTGTAATTTTTAGCGTAGATTACAAGCTTCAAGTAATTGCTTTCAAGTCATATTGTTAAACAGGCATTTTCCAGCATAGCGTATTCAGATCAATCTGGGTAACTCGTTAAGATCGAGACAATAGTTTGTCATTTTTTGTTTGTGTTTGTTTCCATTCCACAGTTGAAGTTTAACAAACTACCAGTTGTTAAAGTCAAATATCCTTACATTCAGTAGTTTAATCGCAGATACAGCACCATGAACTCCGTAAAGCTAACTGAGAAATATATTACTTGTTTTTATAACTGTTTAACCCATGAAAGGTATTTGTAAAGAAGAATTTAGAGATGCGAAAAAAACATAAAATTGTGTACGAGTGCGGAATCTTTCTGTAAATGTTGATTCAACTGATATTTAATTCTGAACGACTTCTATTGGAGGGATATCATATTTTTCATGGATTGAAATGGAGTCTTGATTTTGACAGTTAAAACAAGGTATTATATTAGTTTAACCTAGAGAATGTTTATTCTAAGACATAAGGTGATGCGGATCAAATAATTATTGAAGATAATGTATGTAAAAACAGGTGGATTTAGTGAAATTTTAGTTGAAATGAATGCTGTAATATGTTTTTCTAACTGATGTGGTTTAGTATGGCTAGAAGAGTAATCACAAAGTATAGAACATCCAATGAACTGATTATTGATTTAAAACTGAGATACACAATTACAACCTCATGATCGAAGCATCTCCAAAAACTTATTCGAATAAAATTTTAAAACGCTGTCCAAGTGATATGAAAATTCAGATTTAACAAGAACCTAACAATCTAGACACCAGTCCAATAAAATATATGTTTTGTGATATTTGATAGAAATCAGAACTCCTCGACAGTCTTGCTAACCACAATTCAGTTAGAGATCAAAATAATTCGTAAAAATCCATGAACTAGCTAGGGACGCATTTAGTAAACAAATATTAAAATGATGAAAGTAAATTAAAGTTAAAGCGCTTCTAGATCCTATGTAACAGATAAAGACTGTGCTTAATGATTGAAACTCTAATTTTATACAACAACGTATGGTCATTTTGAACATCACAATCAGTTTAAAGGATAAATATGGCTGTCACTGCTAACTTACCATTGCCAAGATGGGTAATAAAGTAGGGTTTACAGTCTGAGTCTTTATAACAAGCTGCCTCAGGGACCCATGAGCTCTAGAAAATGTATTATGCCAAAGGAACTACCTCCGGGCACTTGGAAAGTGACTGGCGTTCAGTTTTAATCAAGTTGGTGATCACAAACAGTGCATTATTTTCCAAAGGTGGTACTATATAATCCGCCACGTCCCAACTCCGTATCCCGATCCCCGGGATATGCGAAAAGTTTGTAAAGCCAACACCTTTTACTTTAGTTGTGACTGCACTTTTGGCTATATCATTCTCTTGATATCCCTTCTCATAAATCATAACCCAGCTGTTTTAAACAAACAACCATAAGTTTTAATAACAATTTACCAAACGACATATATAAGAATAATCAATTGAAGTAGGCGTTGAGTAACTCCAATTCTAATGTTGGAAATCTGTACAAGTTTTGGCGTTTCATATTCAAAAAGGACAGCAATCCCCTTAACCATTTGTTTACGAGTGCCTACATATGTCGAGTTTTGAAAGTTCTCCGCTTATAACAGCAATCAAGGTCATATTTGTTATCAGGTATTCTAAATGGAAAAACAAAACGGCGAAATCAGAAAGCTGGCTGTGGACAAATGTTAAGAATCTTTTTGACAACTGGGATTTTTAGTTTATCAGACACTAACCCTGCTTGTATGTCTTCCTGTTAAACTAGACGCAGATGCATGGGAATACCTAAATGGGAGCAGAATAATAAAAGCTTTGCGATTCGGCACTAAGCCCATGTGATGCTTTGCACAAGTAATAGTAGCTGACCTTATCTAATATTCATGAACGCAAGGTAAATCACAACTGTATAAATTCTTTGCTAAAAAACATGTAATTTGGTTATTTATCTATTCCACATTTCTGACTAAATTCATTAATGTTTTCTCGTTTAGAATGCAACAGGAGTGAGCCTTCACAGATCCTAATAACTGTTTCGCCCCTAGAACTAAGGCCCTATGAAACTTTACGGGAGACCCAACTAACAGCAGATTATAAAAAGGATGCTGGACGTCCATTTTAGTCTCACAACCACTTCCAGTACTTTTTGAGTTACTTCTTTTATCCTTTCGTTTGGAAAAAGCAACAAAGACTGCAGCTTAACATTACCGATGCAACTTTTAAATGGGAACTTCGTTTAAATCTTTGTTTGATATTCGATTCTTAACGGAAGTTCCTGAATAAATTTTTAAATCTAATGCTTTGTTTTACCTACTTAATCGTTGCAAGAAACTTGCGATACACAAGCCTCGCAGCACCTAGTTCATATGTAATAAATTTAAGTGATTTAACACATATCTTCGTCATTTTCTTGGGAAACCTACAGACTCGGGTCCCCTCATAACTTATTCTAACCACCATATGTTGTCACGGCAGCTGATGGACACGCGTTATACATCCTAACCGTACCTGCGTCTAACCTCATCGCTTATTCAAATGCCATATGATGAGCAAGCAATGCCCCTACCCGCACTAATGGAAAACTAGTAACTCAAAGGCACTCTGTATGGTGCCTTACATCGTTCTACGCACTCGCTTAGCTATTTAGTGAGAATATTACTACAGTCCTGACAAAAATCTCATGAACCCCTTATCTCCAACAAAAAAGTCTGTATTTGCTGCATATAGTAATTTTATTTTTCAGAAGTGAGATATAACAGTTAGAATTGGAGTAAAATGGCAGTATACAGCAGATGCACGTGGTAAATGTCTTCATCGATTAACTGAAATAGAGAATACGGATATTAGATTAACAGGCTTATTTAGAAAGACTATTGTCTACTTTGAACTTACTGCGTGAGAAAGTTATACTGGAACTACGAATAAAGCAGGAATCTAGTGTCTCGGCGTAATGAGTACAACCACTCCATTACTGCTATATGGCATATTTTTATAACAAAGCCTCTGCAATAGATTGGTAGCCTCTGTGACTTCGTCTATGGTTGTCGGAAGTCTGGGTCCTTTCGAAAACAATACTGATATCCCCTACTACTGGGCACTCAGTATTAGTTTGACGCAGTGGGATAGTGTTGTCCATAATCCGAAGAAAATTAAAAACCGGAGATTGTTTTCTTTCATTTTGCCGATAACATCATAAAGGACAGTTATGAACGAGCATAAGAACAGTTAGTCACAGGTGGGAACAACAATTATTTTAGCTAAAAAAACAAGCTTCGGCTTTAGATATCTAGAAAACAATTCAAAACAAAACTGATTACCATTTTAAAATATAAGACTAGTCAGCTTGGCTGGAGAAGCAGCAAAAACCCAAAAAGCAATGCTGATTCGAAATAAATTTCACACCAACATATAGAACATTACACTAACTGTGGCATTTTAGCACACTGAAACATTAAATTACATAGCTACACAAAAGAAATAGCTGAAAAGAGCACAGAACGAAGAAAGCCGACCGCCATTGCTTACAAAGATGGAGGATATAATAATCCCCGCCTCATTCTGATTGGTTGCTAAGCTGAAGGCCACATTTACGAAATTGGGTTGCGGTTAATAGCAGCCCAGTTAGCGTAAGACTTAGATCCTTTTCAACTTAGGATACTTTTAGAAAAAAATTTACCTGTTGTAGTCGTAGTCCGAAACATGCCGGATATACTGCTTTACACTTTGAAGTGTTTAAGGTAATCCCATTGTTGTCCGCACAACTTTGAAGTTAAGTCAGATCATCCTTAAGTGCCGGCTTATAATCCTCGTTGCAAACTTTTCTACGGAGTTTCACCTCACCAACTAAAAGTAACAAATTCAACCATACTTGTTATGGAAGATTATTTATATCAATGAAAAAAGCGGGTCCTGGGACTGAACACTGGGGGGCCCGCTATGACATTCCATAACCTTAGAGAAATCGACCTAATAGTTTGGGCCCATTGTTAAGACATATTTGGTTGACCCTGTCAAAATCTTGTTAGAAGTCAAAGTATTTGACATCAGCCTTCCCCTTGTGATCAAACATAGTTGTACGTCTGTTCCCCACGGCCAGCTGGTTGGTTATATAAGAATGACTGTTCCTGAAACCATGCTATTTGGCTGAAAGGTAGTTTGTGGATAGTAAGTATTCACGTATGCCACCACATGCCAAGAACTCCGTAGTTTTTGTTGGTATTGAGAGAAGTGTCACAGGCCCGTTGCTTCAAGGTTCGCTGCGTCGGCGTTTTTTAAAGATCAGTCTGAGCCAGTGCCCACTTTTCTGGTACCCTAACTCGGCTTAGAGAATATAGAGCATCACGATGAGCGGTGTCGTCACGATTGAAGCTGCTTCTGTCAGCTTGGCGGAATGGACCATATACGGGCCAGGAGAAGTTGTAGTGGCATTGAACCATAACCAAATAATCCTCAAACCTGAACACGAGACTACTCGGAAAACAGATACTCAATATTTAACGCCGAGAAATACCCAACGATGAAAAAAACGGGGACAATGAATTGAATGAATTAGAGTTGATCGTATGGCATGGCTTGGCCATGCAGCCGTGGTCCCTTCTGAATGTTACCCTGTGTCATTTATCCATATTAAATATATTGTTCTGTCTGTAGCCTAGGTTTGTTCTCTATCATGTATTGGTAATTGTTATGATATAGTGAGTTGGTGTAGACGATGATGTGACTTCCACGTAAGATCTGTTAGATTAGGCAGTTATATCATGACAAATCTACAATAATAGGATTAGGTTTATTATTAGAGCAGTACTAATATCATAGTAGACCATAATCTTACATTGGTAAGCCCAACCAAAGAAACTGAACCTATTGTTGTTAATCCGTATTTCCACTTTAACTTTCTCGACCGATAATATTGGTATAAACCCATCATTATAATAGTCCTCTGAATAATGCTCACATGTATTATCGTAATGTTATATCGATCAGTTCTCATTACTTACTAACTCAATCGATAATAAAAACTGATCATCTATATTAACTAATTAACTCTGCCTGGAGTCCCTCCGGGGGCTACTGCCGGTCCCAAGCCCGGATAAAGGAGGAGGGTTGGTCATGGGGTTAGCGTCCCCATCCCGTAGAAAACTAACTCGCTAAAAAAACGCAAACCAGAAAAATTATTCTAACCTTTTAAACTCTGCCCTGGGAGTCAGAAGGTCTTCATTTAGAAGAACCATGACGCCTCATGATGAAAGCCGAATTCCTTCGGAAGTTACGAGGCCGATGCCCCTTCTGACAGCCAGAGCAACCACTTACTTAGGTATGTGGAATACTCGTACAATGTGGGAGACCGGGAGAGTCTTCCAAATTGCTGCAGAAATGAGGAGATACAACCTAGAGGTGCATGTGATCAGTGAAACACGTTGGACGCAAGTTGGACAACAACGACTAGCTTCAAGGGAGCTTCTGTTATATTCCGGCCATGATGAAGAAAATGCCCCACATACACAAGGAGTTGCATTGATGCTGTCCAAACAAGCACAAAATGCACTTATACGATGGGAATCTCATGAACCAAGCATCATCAAAGCCTCCTTCAAAACAAAGAAAGAGGGCATTTCAATGAACATCATCCAATGTTATGCGCCTACCAACGACTACACATGAAGAAGCTATAGATCAATTCTACGATAGGCTGCAGTCAATCGTCGAGAAGTGACCGACAAAGGACCTGACCATTCTGATGGGAGATTTTAATGCCAAGGTTGGAATGGACAACACTGGATATGAAGACATCATGGGACGACACGGACTGGAAGAAAGGAACAAAAATGGTGGGAGGTTTGCAAACCTATGTGCCTTCAATAAACCGGTCATAGGCGGCACTATATTCTCACATAAACGCATTCACGAAATCACGTGGGCTTCACCGGATCACACTACGCAAAACCAAATCAACCATATCTGCATCGACAAAAAGCTCAAGAGGACAATGGAGGATGTGAGAAGCAAGAGAGGAGCTAATATAGCATCAGGTCATCACTTGCTGGTCGCCAAGATGAAATTGAAACTCAAGAAGTACTGGACAACGGGGCAGACAATATCACAACTCTCTGGAAATCACCTTAAACCAGAAAGACCAGTGAAAAGCAAGGAAGGCAAGGTGATCACCAACATTGAAGAACAGCGAAACGGGTGGGTAGAACACTTCAAAGAACTCTTGAATCGACCAGCCCCACTCAACTTTGGTGTTTGAATGAAATAATGTTTCCTTTGTACTTGTTGAATGCTTGATTTCGAATTCTAAATACAGTTCATTCGTTTGTGGTTATCTAGTACTTCTTGATCCGATTACGTTATTTCTGGGATTCTTAGTTCATACTTTAGTTCAAATACTCCTGAATATCACACTTGGATAGTCAGAAAATTTTACCAATTGTATTCTTGTTCTTTTAGTTTAAATATATGCTCTTTAAACAAGGAGAACTTGAACATTATCAAGCAACATAGAAATTTATCAGTATGTGAAATATTGTCAAACCTCTCATTGAAATTCAGCGCTAACGTTTTTGACTATGGCAATTTGAAGGTTCTTGTTAATGATGTAAATAATG